AGGCAAAACTGTAAACTCATAGAGATGGGGTGCAACAGCAAAATGAACCAAACGTGGAAATAGGCGTCCTTCAAGTCCAGTGAGGCGAACCAATCCTCTTTCCTTAGCAACGGCAAGATGTTTTGAAGGGTGGTCATCTGAAACTTTTTCGGTACAATAAATCAATTCAGGTTACACAAGTCCAAAATCGGACATAAACCACCATCCCGCTTTGGGACCGTAAAGTATCTGGAATAGAATCCGTGAGGTCCGTCAGATGGGAATACTTGACGAATCGCTCCTTTATGAAGAAGTTGATGTATTTCGTCGAGCAATACCGGCGAACATGATGTAAACCGGATCGGACTCGATGGAGGAACGATGTCGAATTCTATCCGATAGCCGTGCTGAACGATGGACAATACCCACCGATCAGGTGTGATGGACTCCCAAATGGGGAGTCGGCTTCGGAGCCGATCCCCAGATGAGAGGGGGGTGGGTATAGAAGGAATTTGAGGAATGGTTCGCCAGTCCCGTCAATGCTGCCTCCTGTCATCAAAACGGCGGCGGCCTTGTTGGTAGCGTTGTTGGGGCTGAGGAGGGCGGCGCTGCTGCTGTTGCTGCTGATGGTGCTGGGGCTGTTGTCTTGGCTGGTAAGACTGCCTGTAAGATGGGCGATTCCATGACCACTTACGTCTGGTCTGGGCCTGTATCTCCATCTTGTGTGTCATCATCTGGGATTCGTGCAGCTTTTTTAGTTTGTGGTCGGAGTGGGAGTGGAAAAGCCCGGACCTGTCAAAGGGCATTTCCTCTATACGGCACTTGGTTTCCTCCGGAAAGTTGCAGTTTCTAAGCCAGGCGTGTCTCCGGAGTGAAACTGCACCGACCAAGGCCCTCGAGTCTGTGTCCACGTGGTGCCTGGCCGTGCACAACTGTTGAACAGCGACCTGCATTGCCTCCTTGATAAGGACCTTAGCCAGGTCACCCTGGTGGTCCGGGAGGGTCAAGGTGACGTTGTGGAGGCGCTGCATGATGAAGTACTGGTACCTCGCCAACGTCGCCTCATAATTCAAGATCCGCAGCCCCAGGCCTGAAGCAGCATAGACTCGCCTAGCCAGGGAGTCGATCTTTCAGCCCTCCTTGTCTCGTGGTGCAGTGTGCCCTCTTGCCTCTCTGCCCTGGGAGGACTCCACGACGACTGAGTACGGCTTGGGGTGGCGGAGGAGGAAGGGGATATCCTCCTCCTGAACCCGGTACATAGATTCGTACCTCCTGGACGTAGGCTGAGGGTGGGAGGGCTAGTCCCAGGGCTGCGTCATCGCTTGCCGAAGGGTGGTTATGAGCGGCAGGATGATCGATGTCGACTGCTCCCCACGGACAACATCGTAGAACTTGTCTGTTGTTGGTCCCGGACGCTGGACGGCGTTGATGTCGAGGGACTGGACAAGTCTGGACATCAGCTCCGCGAAGGAGAAGTGAGATTCGTCCGGTGATGCAGGACCCTGGGATGTCACGGCAATGTCTGGGGAGGTTGAGTCGACCTCCGAATCGTCAGAATTGGCACTGTAGTATGGTGGAGCCAATGATGAAGACTCCGCTGGAGAAAAGGAGCGGCTGCTTCCATCCCAAGGGGATCGTGGAAATACACGTCTCAGGTCCAAGAAATGTGGTTGGTTGCGAGATGGTGGAGAGGACCGACCCCTAGGAGTGGGGTAATATCCTACAGAGAGTGGATCACCCCATGTATGATAGTAGGGGTGATGCCATCCCTCCGAACATTGCTCCACAGAGCGGCTCCTCTGGCTCCCAGGCAGGGACATCCCTACATCCGCCTCCACAGTGGCCGCGGGCATGGGTGTAAGTGACCTAGCCCTAGGGGGAGAGTCCTGAATTTCCCCATCAGAAATCGAGCCCCTTTGCAGAGTTGGAAGGGGCGCAGATGGGAGGTCGGCCACGTGGTGCAGGGACCCTTGAGGGGTAACCCGCATAGCCTCCTGGAGAACCGGGTTGGGTGGTGTCGGTACCGTGAGCGCCGCCGGTACCGAGGGTGCCGTCGAATCCGAATCCCGGTGACGAGGACGCTCTGAGTCCCTTGGTTTCTTGGAAGGCTTGGACACTTTCTCCTTCCTGGCCTTCTTATGGCCTGCCGACTTCTCGGGTTTGGCATGCTTCTGCTTCTCATGCTTCTTTTTGGGGGAAGCAGAGGGAGCCACCGTAGCAGATGCGCCTTCGTCCGAAGGGCGTGAAGGTACGGCTACTGAAGCGGAGCCAGACTTTGGAGCAGAAAGCAATGGGTCGGACTGCATGAGAGCCCGATCCCAAAGGAGCCTCCGGAGGCAGTTTTCACGATTCTTCCTGGCCTGCTTGGAGAAGGCCAGGCAGTGAGCGCATTTATCGGTCCTATGCCCCTCGCCCAAACAGAGGAGGCATAGGTCATGCGGGTCAGTTGGTGACATTTTTGACCAGCACTCCGCGCATTTGCGGAAAGCTGCTCACTGCGCTTTCGCAGAAAAAGGAAGAAGAGAGAGAGAGTGCAGAGGGTAAGTATATATTTTTGTTTTTTTTGTTTTTTTTAGATAGATCGAAAGATGGTAGAATGATAGAGAAAAAACTACAGGAACTATACGAAGCAGAGATAGTTAACTAACAGGAATAAGGAGAAAAAACTGGGACTATAGAACTGGAACAATCGAGAAGAAAAGGCTAATGAGTAACGGTCAGAGTGAAAGTTGAAAGCGGCACGAGGCACAGCGAATGGCGGTCGCAAAGACTGAACAAAATGGTGGACGCTTCGCTCTTTATAGGCCACAGGGGGAGGGGGAGCAGAGCTTCCCGCCAAAAACCGTTAGCTGGCAATCTTCCGGCCAAAGGTACTGCGCAGGTGCAGTACCCATATGTGTGATGCACAGAGGCCACAAGGAAGAACAAACTCGTTCACTGAGAGCAAGGAGCTCATTACATTGAGCGCACACCTGCTTCTCTGCAGCTGGTCAATACTATTTCAGTTTCCTTCAGACATGCAAAGTTAAAGGAAATGGCACATCCTTAGCACCAGCTAGCTTTTCATCCAGTTAGAATTCACTCAGCTAGCTTTGTTAGCAGTGCTGGAAAAACATGTCTATAGAAAGGCATTTTCCACCAAGTGCTCTTCGTAGCTGTCCTCAGACACTGTTCAAATGACTTCCTGGAGCCCAGATAATGGCTCAGGCAACACCATTTGGCTTACTTATGCAATGACCTTTTGCAACTGCCATGATGGGCAAAGAACGAAATGAACTGTGATTCTGTGCATGACTGAAATGCTGATTTAAATGCTGACTAAGGAGCTGGTGGTATGTTGGTCCCTGTGAGTGGAAGAGATCTGACATGTTAACTTGCTTTTATCTGATAAGACATTCTGCTCCTGCTGTAGCTTTGCAGATGGCAAGATTCTCTGGAAAACAGAGGAAACTGGGCTTGTATTTGCAAAAGCAGAATTAGAATAAACGAGTGCATTTAAAATGCTGTGGCTCCTGTTAGGGGTTCTGCAATGAGAACAGGAGCAATAGTGGACAAGATTCCCTAAACAGGCTTTGCTCGCCAATATCAGTTTTCCCCATGTAATGTGGAAGTGTAGGAGACTTTTAGGCTATGCATGCATTTCGTGTGGATTGACTATAAGGCCCAGCAGGCTGTCCCGAGCCAGTCTTCCCCACTCCTCCCAAGCAGATCAGGACAGAAGGCTTTCTAGTTAAATGTTTTTATCATATTAAGGCTTCCCAGCTGGGGTGGTTTTGTGATACAAGAGTATTGCAGAACTCCACAAGAGACTCAAGCTAAGTTACATAGAAACATAGAAACAGAGTGAGTCAGAAGGGGCCTCCTGGGCCATCAAGTCTGACCTCCGGCACCAGCCGGCTCCGCTCACGACATGCCCACCATGTGCATGTCCAGCCTATCTATATAAACATAGAAACAGAGCGAGAAACATAGAAACATAGAAACAGAGTGGGAAACATAGAAACAGAGCAAGAAACATAGGGAAATAGTTAGAATAGGGAAATTAGGGAAATTTGGCTTGGTTACACAAAGTTGATTCCAAAGGGCATCTCTCTCCTCCCTGCCAAACCAACAAGAGCCCACTCCACCTTTCAGACAGATCATGCTGCTTATGGGCTGATTGCCTGGAATGCCTGGGGCTTCTCAGCTAGTCTGCCCTCTTAACCAGTCACTGTATGATCAGATGGATGAGAATTTCCCACTGAACTGGAATCTCTCCGGTTCTCAGCAACCGTCTAGTTTATCTCTGGGTCCACTGACCTCAGAATTTCAGCTATGAATTCCAATCCTTCCTCCACTCAGAATCCAAGTGAACAAACTTTGAAAGCTGCATTAGAGGAGGAGCGGGCCCAATTCCTGCGAAGGCCTGCAGGGCAGTCTCATTGAACTGAGGGCTAGTTCCCACTGAAGTTAAGTATTGCATTGGGGCTTTGCCACCTCCTTCCTCCTGCGGGTGGGGAGAGGGTGAATCAAAGACACACGCCTGGCCAAGTTCCAAGGAGCTTCTGTGCTATACGCATGTGTCTCAGCTTTACATGCGAGCAAAAGCAGCATGAGAAATGGCCCCACATTTTGGCTCCATTCCACTCCAATCAACAGATTGCCTTTTTCTCCTCATCAAGCATGGGCCAAGGATCAAGGTATTTAATTAGGAGAGGCTAAGCTTTCTATGTAAGGAGTTGCAGACTTGCTGTTTAAGTATTTTAGCATAGATTTAAAGAGATATACCTTGACGCGAGTTTGTATGAGTGGGCACTAAGCCAATAATGGAATGCCAGATTATAGTTTGTCAGAGGGGAGACGAGACCCATGATGCTACTCTGTTTAATTGGCTCTGGTTGCTTATCTTTATCCTTATGTATCCTGCTCTTGTAAAGTCATTTGGCACAGGGCATTTCTTTCCCTGACATGCCTCTTCCAGAAATTGAAATGCAGGTAATAAAGAAGAGTTAGGGAATAGCAGAGGCATACAGGAGCTGTCACTCAGTGCACTCCTTTAATTTCACATTTCTAAACCTGTACATGAATCAAAAATCCATTTATCCTTTGAATTTTGACTTCTCCAAATTGTACGTGAAATTTCTTCAATTCTTAAAAAAGTGTACAAAGTGGGTATATTACAGGATTTGTGAATTCCCCAGACCAACAGAAGGATGAACAAGTGATTCCTCAGTGAGGCCCTATCTTTCCCTAGAAGCAACAAAGATAAAAGTGAGGCTGCCACTTCACGAGAGGGCGAAACTCGCTGGAGAAAACAATTGTGGTTGGGAAGTTGAAGGCAGAAGGCGAAATGGAAGACCAGAAGAGATGGATTGTCTCCTTAAGGGAGGCCACAGTCTTGAATTTAGAACAGCTAACCAGGGATGTCATGGATAAGACATCATGGAGGGCTTTCATTCATAGGGTTGCCATATGTTGGAGATGACTTGATGGCACATAGCAACAACAGGGAAACAAGTGGACAGGAATGCGTATGTTAGTGAAAATAAGTTCAGAAATGCATGTTATGCAAAATTCCTTGTAAAGATGTATGAATTGTACAAAATGGCATAAAATGCATGTTAGGACAAATGCACACAAAACTGGCTATGTATCTTTATACAAACTACTTTGCAAAAGTTTTCAAACTGATGTGGGAATAGCACAAACTGAACTTATACCTGGGAGAATGAGAAACTGAAAAAGAAAACAAAACCAAAAGTTTTGTCCATCCTTAGGTTAGTCAGTGCTAAAGGATAGCTGCAACCCGAGTGCTGCCAAAACTCTTTGACAGTCGAAAAAGGCTCGTCTTGTCTTCCCTTGAGGAACTCCATCCAGGCAGTAGACAAATTCAAAGTGTGGTAACTGGGACAAGTGATTCATCCAAATTCCTTCTGTCATGCTTCCAAGCGACAAGGACCAGCCGAGTGCCAAATGCAATATACACAACTATCAGCAGCACAGCTAGGAGAAAAACAAATGATCCTTGTTCACTAACAGAGAAAGAAAGCGAGCACTCCTCATTGTGGCAGAGGTGTTGCCAAGGTTTGTTACCTTTTCTGCCAAAAAGCATTCAAGACTACTCATAACATCCCTAATTGAAAATGATCCAGAGAACCAGTCTCCTGAAAGATTATATTGTCAGCATTGTGCTTGAGGGGGGCTTGGCAGGTGCCTTCTTACTGGCCCCCTCCTACATCATTGCCCCCAGTGGAAAAAGTCCCAGACATAACATGCCTGCCTTTTCAGAAATCCAGTGTACCTGCAGCAGGGGCTTGATTCTCCTTTATAGAGAAAAGCTTCCCATAATATTTCAAGCATCTTATAGCCTTTCAATAAAATTATCCCCAACCCTCAGAACACCTGGGACTTGCCCAACGTGAGTTAATGTGACATCTCTCCCAAGTCTCACTGGTTACTTCTAGCCTCCTGGGGAATGGGAAAGTGCCAGAGGCTCATCTCCCCATGTTCCCCTTGCTTACATATCAGCATGCCATATTCCAGTTAGCAAGAACTCTGCCCCTTGAGGTGTGTCCAACCCTAGATGGTCACATCTGATGCAAGGATCCTCCTTCCTCATCAACCCCTTCCCCGATTCTACAGGGCTAAACAAGCAGGATTTCCCCTGTGGAGATACATCCTTTGCAGAATATCATGGGCGACCCTTGCAAATCACAAGTAATTTTAAGATTCCTCTTTAAGATTGTCTAGTTTAGGCTATTTCAGGACAAGACTGTTTGGTTTCTTTGTACACTGCCTATTCTTTATCCTGCTTGTGAAATCTTCCCATGGGTAGAACAGTGGTGGACCCCGTCCTCAGGCAGCAATCGCTGCAAGTCCTCATGGAGCAATACGACACCCATGTTCACCAGAAGGCCTGGCTTCTCCATTCCCTGACATGAAGCACTGCTGGGGCTTCCGCTGCCACCTCATGCCAGGCATTTGCACCCTGGCTGCTTCGTTCCAGGCTGGCGCAAGAGCTCAGTGCAGGCAAGGTGCTTGCAGTGCCACTTGCACTCCCAAGTGGGCAGGGCCTCACCCTGCTGCCTTGGATCCATGGCTAGAGGTAGCAGGGGAGTCCTGCCCCATTCCAAGCCTCCAGGAGGCTCTGCGGAGCCCATGAAGGTTGTCACAGACTCAGCACACTGGACAGTGAACCTTCGTGGGCCAGAGTGGCCCTGTGGGGGGGCCCTCCACTGTGCTTCACAAGCATCTCCAAGTGAGCAGTCCGCATCCACCTGCAAACCCAGATAATTGCTATGCCTTTGTGCAATTCATGGCTTCTTACACCCCCGAGGGGCCTTATGATTTTCCCCAGAACAGGAAATTAGGAAGAGTATTGCAGCAGGTGCTCATCCTACATTTGAAATAAGCTCCTTCTGTGCAGGGGAACATTAAAACACAGAAAACGTGTGGCATACCCAGAATGTTATTGCAAGGAAAGAGGGTCAAGGAAACTGTCTTCAGCTTGTAGTCTGTCCATGTTTTCTCACTACCTCTTCCTCCTTCTCCCACCATAAAAAATCCACCAGAAGGAAAAGATGTTTTTTGATTGGTAGTGCACAATGGCTTTTGATTGGTAGTGCTATGAGACCTGAAGCAGTCCAAGAAAGCTACCTTGAATAAAGAGCATTATAATTGTACAAGACAGAGAGGGCAAGACCTCCTATCTCCATTAGTACTCATTCGTGAAAACTTGTGCTGAATTACTCTTCCCCATCATCCTTGTTTTGCACTCTCTTGCTTAGGAGAGAAGATGAACGTCTGATCGGCTTCTTTGCAATGAAGGTACAGTATTAAGGCATCAGTTCAGTAAGTCAATAAGCCAACAAGAAGGCTATGGAAGACTCACCTGTAATTATGCTACTTGGATTTGGAGAGACAGTAATATTGCTCTTATGTAAGGTGCCGCTTAATGCTAAAATGACCACTGGGTAGATAGTGAGGGTATAACGCAGATACTTTTCGAGCAAGAAGTTCTCCAGATAAAACCTGATGATAAAAATATTTAAAATAGAATAAAATGTCCATCTTTTCATCCCTATAATCAAATTGTGTAAGGATAGGAATGGAAATGCACTTCAGATGCACTTATCCATACATTTTCCCCTTGTGCAATTTCAACTGGCCCCTCCATTTTTGTCCCATCTCTGTCCCTTATGATCCATGGGTTGGACCCAAAGTCAGAAAAGTGGAACCCACATACACTTAATGCTTACCTATGCAGTTTTAAGCCTGGACGTGCAAGGCCCCAAATCACACAGGAAAGTCCTACATGTGTCAAACAAATTCATCTCTCCAGACATTTGCAGCAACCCGTGGACCCAACAGAAGGGACTGGGGGAGAAGGCAACAAGAACGCTCCCCTCCTGCACATGCAATTGCAATCATGTGATGGGGAGCTAGTGCTGTCTTCTCTGGCACTGGTCCGCTTAAAGTAAAAACAGCACCTTAAAGATTAGCACATTTTTACTGGCATCTACTTTTCTGGACAACAGCCCACTTTATGAGATGCATCTGATTCCATAAGGTAAGGGGTTCAGTGTTTTGAATACAACTCTGGCCTTTTAAAAGTGCTATTCCTCTATTTTGCTTTGATTTGTTGCTATCAAAGCTCTGGTGATGAAAGGGCTCTGTCAATACCTCTTCCTTTCCCTGCCATAAAGATGATGTCATCAAACTATCCCAGAGATCTGGCCGTGTTTCCGTTTGTTGACACCACTCAACTTATTTTAAAGCAAAACAGAAAACGAATACCGCTCTCTTGTGCAGCTTCCTGGTGAACTTTTTCATGGATTGGCAAGTACAGAAATAAATTTAATTTCATTATGCAGTTTTTGACAGAACATCCACAGACATGCCAGGATCTAGAAGCAAGAAGTGTATGTATGTTTTGCTTTGCTAACATTATGTGTTGCAACCAGTTATTACATACAAAGAACTCCTCGGTTTAGTCAGTTCTGTTCAAACCAGAAAATCCCTGTTGGAATTGCCAGTTTATAGCTCTGGCAGAACCGCAATTGAGCCACTTTTAGGCGGAAATTCTCACTCTGGGCACACTCACATATGCCCACAAACAGCCTACAGTACATCTGACACCCCGTATCATAGAAGTCTTGATGATTAAAGCCATCTTTCTCCTCTCCCACCATGATCATGGACACTTTTTCATTCTCTGTGGCTTTTTCCTAATTCCTCCCTGTTTTTTAATGATCACCTTGTGTGGTTTCCACATTGACAGCCAGTAACAGCCCCTCCAAAGTACCCATATTGGAGAGGCTGGCACTGGATCATCACACCATCTTTTTTCAAGTGCATGCTTTTTTGCACAAACTTAAAAAAATCACTCAGGCTTGCACAGGTGAGAACTTGTGAGGATCCAAAATGAGCAGCCTCTCCAGGGCAGTTTCTGCTCCAAGAGTGCAACAGGTGCTCACAGTGGACTTCAATCCAGAGAGGCAGGAAGAGGTTTATTCTTTAGATAGCTTTGAAGAGAAAACAAAGCCACAGCTGATCTTTGCTTATGAAAGCAAAGCAAGTGTCAATAGGAAGTATTTGATATCTGTTGGCTGAGGCATCCTTTAAAAGAGAATGAGTGGATCTAGATCAAGTGGGACTTTGTAAAGCTGTATTCTGCAACCCATGCTTTTGACTCCCAAGCCATGCTGGCTCATCTCTTGGAGCCAGGTGCACATGCAGACATGGCCTCATGTATCCTACTTAGCTTTGGTCAAAGCTGGGCAGCGGCCATGTCTGGCTGCACCCAAATCCAGGCCTGACTGATGTCCACTCTAACATGGAGTTCCCAAGCTCTGAGGCCTGAGCTGGACACTGGAGCCTGGACGGGAGAAGCAGAATGCATTGCTCTGTTGATCAGGGAAAGGCACCTGGCTCTTACTATTGCTACATACCAGGCCTGACCCATACAGGGAGTTCAAGCTGCCAGTCACAAAAACTGAAGTTTCACATCGTATTTCCTTTGAACCTGGAAAAGACTTTGAAGCCTGAGGAGACACTGTTCCTGGTATCATACTAGGCTGAGCCCTAGATCCAAGTTCCTGGGTCATGCTTTGGCAATTCTGGGAACTGCCAGCCAACCCATCTGGCAGGCACCAGTTTGGGAAAAGCTGCCCTAGAGTCCCTGAGAAGCCTCCATGCTCTTTTTGCTGGCCAAGCTACTGAAGTTCTGAATTTTTTCTTTGGGGAGATGGTAACCACTGTTCTCCTTTCCACCTATGCACATGGCCATTATTTTCAATTCTTGCATGAGAGGGGTCTACTACAAATAACAGGAAAGGTTACTTTTTCAGGTAATCACACATCATCCATTTTCTAAGTAACATTACCATAATGGTTCAGCGTGGCTGGTTTGCTACTTACCATAGTATCAGCTCAAAGAAAAGGATGCATAGAGAGGATACTGTTGCACTTCCGTCAGACACATTCCCATTATAGATTAAGACAACTGTGAAATTCAGGAGGGTGGCTATTGTGGTCCACGTGGCATAAAGAGCAATTCCGTTTTGCACCTATCATACATAGATGTTAAATAATAAGGGTGGGGGTGAAAGTGAAGGGAAACTTTCATAACTCAGCGATTAACTCCAGATTCTCCCCTTTGTAAGGTCAATATAGTTGGAATATGTTGCCAACAGCGCCAAGGAGGCTGCTAAGAGTGTTACACGTTGTAGCTTCATTTTGTAGAGCTTCCACCTTGTTGCAAAATAGGGTCGCAGACTGCAGCAAAGCTATCCATGCTTTCTCTCGACTGCATCAGTCACCCAGATGTGTGGTGGTATCATGTACTATCTGAGGAAGAGGAGCTCACATTTTAATTGACTGCAATGAGCTCCTAACATGTGATATCATGGGAAAGTTGTGCTTCTTTTACATGTCATTAAGCCTCTTAATCTTGTTTTAGCCCTTTGAAAGAAGACAGCAGGGTCATTTGCTTACCCAAGGCACATGAAAGAATCAACTCCCTTGGTTCTTGATTCATGAAAGGAAGCTTCAGCTGAACAGCATCTGTGCCTAACATGTTAGATTTAACTGACTTGCACTGGCTTTATTTGTGAGTTGCAGATTTCTCACCATTGCGGAATTTGTCTAGAATGCAATCCTCTGCTCTCTATTCAAAAGTAATCCCTATTAAATGAAATGGCATTTACTCCCAGGTAAGGAAGTATAGAACTACAGCCTAAATTACAGAATGTTGGGTTTTGAACAGAGGGGTAACTTAAAGGTATCTTGACAAGGTTTCACAGGTTTTGGCTGGCCTTGGTGGCCTGCCCTGATGCAAAGGTCTCAGTTCCTCTGCCACATCCTTCCGCTCATGTGGGGATATAAGTCTATGTGACAGCACATGAACCTCTCCCTCACTTTGTGCTGGCCTTTGGAAAGATGCAGATCTTCACTTGAGACTGACACCTTCATTCCCTTCCACCCGAGTTCTCTGTACATGCAGAAGTGCATGCATGCACATACACACTGAAGAAATCAAGGAAGGCTAATTTTAAGAATTTCTGTGAAACAAGGCAGTAACTTCAGGATTTCTCTTTTAAATATATAATGGTACCTTGGCTCATGAACTTAATCCGTTCCAGGACTCTGGTCCTGACCCAAATTGATCATGAGCCAAATTAAATTTCCCCATAAGGTTCAATGTAAATAAGGTTAATCCGTTCTGTAACCATTTTTTTTAATCAGAAAAATGTGAAAAAAAGTGACAAAGACCAACAAAGATCGTGGTCATCTACTCCACCCCACCCCAAGCACAAGCGCAGCCATCTCCCCGCCCCCCTGGCACGACCAAGATCGCGCCTGTCATCCCTGCAGGTGCCCATCATCCTGGCATGCTGGCAGTAGTGGGGGGAGATGGCTGCAATCGTGGGCGCACTGGGGGAGGAAAAGACAGGCGCAAACAGCGCTGGGGACAGAGAGACTGGCGCAAATGAGGCTTGCTGGGAGAGGGAGAGATGGCCGCAAATGGGGCGCACTGGGGGAGGGAAAGATTGGCATGATCGCGGCCATCTCCCCCTCACCTAGCACGATCACGGCCATCTCCTCACTCCGGGGTGTGGGGAGAGATGGCTGCAATCATGATGGTTCGGGGGGAATGGCCGAGATTGCGCCCGTCTTTCCTGCAGGAGCGCACCTGTGATCACACGTCTTCCCTGCACGAGCGCAACTGCAATCGTGGCCACCTCCCCACTTGGGGGGTGGGGAGATGGCTGCAATCTTGGTCGCCACCCAATGCGGAGTTTGTGGCCCACGTTAAAATTTTCATGAAATTTTTGTTTGCAACCCGATTTGGTCATGAACCAAGGCATTTGTGAACCGAGGTACCACTGTAGCCCCAAGGAGGCCCAGGTTTTGAATTCATGAAATGCCCTGCAAGTGGAGCATTAGGCCATAGGGAGGATTGGAAGAAATATTAGGGAGGGCTGAAACATCCTTCTACCTGTCTGAATAAATATTGATTTGGGAACTTTTAAACATCTGAATTCCATCTACCTAGATCTAAATTTTTGCAATGAATGTCAAATTACAATACCAAAATCCGGATGAGCCAGAGGTCTGCTTTGCTATGCTTATTTAACCAAGCTGTATGAGGGTACAAGGCCCGGTGTGAAATGAAGAGAGCAGCGTAACTGGTAAGAGTGAGCAAAGCCAGAACAAGTAAGGCTGGAACAAAATGCCTGGAAAAAAAGTAAATAGGAAGCAGAATTAGGAACTCCAGTCTAGAATCATCCTTGTATATTAATTCCCCAAGACTTCGACAGAGACACTTCAACACATATAACCATCTTATTTAGCTTAGCTGGAAGCTGACAATGAATGAGCTTGTAGAAGGGGAAATGAATGAGAGGATGCAGCGACCAGAGTATTGGGCTTGAACCAGGGAGATCCAGATGGCACATCCTGCTCAGCTGTGGTGGCTGACCCTAGGCCCAGCCTCCCTACCCCCACTCTCTCTGCGCGCGTGTGCGCACACGTGCACACATGTGTGTGTATGTGAGAGAGAGAGACCAACCAACCGACTGACCCTCAGGAGAGGTATGTTTTCATGTGGGACAAAGCCAAACTAAAATATACCAATAAAATGCCTGCTTGTTAGTTTAAGTTTTCAAATTGTCATGCTCTGAACTGTCATGCTTCCCAAGTAAATTAGGGGACCCATCCCATTAAATGGACTAGGGGATATACTAGGTTGCTTGGAATCCAGATTTTATGGACTAGCAGCTCTTGCAGGAGACAAATAATATGAAACTACACAGATTTGCATGGAGGGCTGGGGTGTTTGTTTGTTTGTTTTACTTACAGTGAATCCCACAGGAACAGCCATCCAATATTTAAAGCATTGTTCAGCATCCATACCAGGTAAAACGAGAGTGGCAGTACATCTGGCCTCATATAGACCCAGCCAAGTTCATTCCTGAGAATGCAAATGAATTTTTTAAAATAACAGCACTGCTTCCTATCCTGCGACATCTGTTCTGCTTGTCAATTTGGTTCATCAAAGCATTAGTGATCATCTTTAAATGCCTGAATGTTTTGGGTCTAGGACACTCGAGGTATTGCCTCATCCCATACCAACCTGTTCATACCTTAAGGGTAGAGGGAGAGATTCTCCTCTGTGTCCCAGCCAGAATGGAGGCACAGCCAATGATGGTGATGAGAGAGAGGGCATTCTCAGAGGTTGTGCCCATATTGTGGAACACGTTGCCCTGTGCATTCTCCCTCTCCAAGTGTCTTCTGTTGGTTGGCAAAGACATTTCCATTCTGCCAGGCTTTTGCCTGCTAAGTGTTTGTGTGTGTGTGTTGGTTTAGTTTGTTTTAAAGCGTCCTTGCCTCTAGATTTCTCTGGTATTTTTACTGAATGTATGGTTTCATATTGCAATGTGGTTTTAAATAGTTGTGAGTTGTTCTGGATAGTTCATGAGCACTAGGTGGGTGGCATATAAATGCCCACATAAACAGATGAATAAATAAAATTATCTTTTTGCTACCAGAGACACAACAAAGAGCTAAACTGACACCAAGGGATGCATAAAGGCCTGTACAATGTACTTTCAATGTAGAAAATGGTTTGTAAGCTACATGTGGGTCACTAGATTTGATTGTATATCTATTATTTTACTGTCTGTGCTTGCATTGAGAAGCTAGGACTTCCCTTTTCATGTAGATCAGTTCAAGAAACATGTTTGATGATCAAATGTGGTGATATAATTATGACTTAATAACTATTCCTTCCGGAAATAACCCCCATGCAAATCTTTGTCCTATGCCCTCTTCAAGTCCTGTCTTAAGCTTCACATGGGAAACTTAAACTCATGGCCTTGTTATTAGTACCTTTCCTATACCAATTGTAAAAAATGTGAATATTTTTCTTTTGGTTATTCCTTTTATCATTACAATCCAGCAACAGGATTTTCTTCCTATAAGATCCATACCCTTACTTCTAGATTGGCTGTACAACTCCCTTGGTTTCTTGGGAGAAGCTGACCTAGGTTCCACTTTGGTGCTTACTGCAAAGCCACCATTAGGTATCCTATGGTCCACATGAACTTCCATCATGATGGTGACGCTAGGGAGACATAGGTCTGAGTAGCGCTCTGAGAAGAGGCTGCTGAGAGGCTCACCTATGTTGTTTTGAGCTTTTCAAAGGAAAAGTGCAAAATAAATAATAAATCACTATAATGCTCATTTTTAAAAACTATGCAGAGATAAAAATTGGTAGCAAGAAAATGATGCCCCCTGTGGAATTCTGCTCTGATCAATGATTTCATCTTGCTTCGTGGTAAAGCCAGCCATTCTCCTGAAGTTCAACTGAGAATCACTTTGAAACGACAGCAGTGCCACTAGCCCAGAGCTTCTTAGCTTGAGGAACAGTCTTATTCCAAAGCAATCAAACATAAGTAACCTTCTGCAGAGTCCTGATAATGTATAACCCAGCCAGCCATATTGCCACAGAAAGATGATGTTCCAAATGAAGAAGGTCCAGGTTGCTGGTGTGAGTCTCGTCTCATGGTGGCGGGAGATATTCCCAACAGTGGTATGAAATACACCTGAAACAATGAAATTTAATAGATTGTTAGGCATTTTTCTTATGTGAAAATAATAAACCAGTGTTTATCAGTCTTACCCTTACACTCACCTCCTTCCCCAAGTAATGAGACATTCCAGGACCAGAACATTTACCTAAGTTTGGTTCTCTTTGGAAAACGTTTTTGTACCATTTGGGCTTATCTGCAATGTATTTGTGCTTAGAAGGAGGCAAGCAACTTGAATGCTCCAACAGCAAGTCCCACTGTCTCATCTCAGATCCTCAAATAGAAGCAGCCACCCAACCAAGATGTGCTACCCTGTAATCAAGGGCCCATCTCTTTCTTTGGACCGTGCAACAACTGCAGCCTGTCTATCAATCTGTTTCCATTCTTTCCATTCACCTTTTGCTTGCCCCTTCCTTTGGCTGCAGTTGTATTATTTTCCTCAACTATCTCTAGTTCAGTGCCGCACACACAATGTAGGTTTTTTAAAATGAAACTATTAGTGCAAATGCATGTATTCACAGAAACACCAATGAGGGGATTTCCACCTTTGTCTGGGAAAGTGTGCCCAGTGCCAAGGGGCTGTAGATTCATCCCAAGGACATTGTCCCAGCCAAGGCTTAAAAGCCATCCCTTCTCTCTGCTCAGTTACTCTTGACAGATCAGAGAACATAAACCCAAAATGCAAGAGATCTTCAGGCGAGAAGGGGGTATTTGGGGGACCCCCGCCTCTTCTCAGCTGGATCCTTAATTTTTCCCATTCCTCCCCAACACACACTTTTGCCACTCTTCCATGATCCTCTAAAGTTTAGGAAAGTGCATACATGAGTCTCCTCCACTCTTTTCAAGAGAAACCAAGTTTGACAGCTCTGAACCTTAGAAATAGAGCTTGAGTAGAAATTGGTTGGGTGTGTGCTGCAACATACCTCAGTCTAAACCTCCAAATTCGCATTATAAGGGGACTCAACATTTGACTGTCCACTTTCATGTTTTTCCACTTTCTCAGATTCCTTGGGAGTCGGGGAAAGTGCAAAAGAAAGCTCCTTCACCCTCATCACCCTGCCCAGTCACTGAAGTCCTTGCAGCACATTCTGCTTGTGGTTTCACATGGGCCCATGGCCCAGCTGGAGTCCACCAGCAGAAAAGCCCTCTGTTTGCACAGCATTCCTGGCCTATGGTGGTCAGGCAGGCCTCCCTGTTGAAGCCTTTCTTGCTGACCAGCTGTGCTTGTAATGTTACCTTGCTTTTAATATATTGTTTTTATTCTTTTATCTGTTTTAGTGTCTTACGCTTCAACACTCCAGAATCTGCCTAGATATGGATCAGGATAGCGATATTGCAAGAATAAATAAATAGGCCAGTGTGCACTTAGAGGGATTAGTGTTTAGTTAGGATGAATAACTGAGGCATCTATAACCTGATTCAGAGAAATAGTAACAACATCGAAACCTTTCTCTTTGAACAACAGCAATTTTTAAATAGTATGTTTTGTTGTTTTATTTGCTTTCAATAAAATGTTCTCATCTTTGTTCATTGCACCTGATCCTCTGTTTGGCTCAGGTATAATGACCTGCTTCCTTAGGTAAAAGGGACAGATTAAATGAAGGTGTGCCATTTCATGGTGGTGACTGCAGAGATTCCCAGAAAGGTGTTTTTCTTTTACAACTGATGACTGTAGAGGAGGGATTGCCCAGTGAGAAGGGCACTCCTCCACACTAGTGCATCTGTGTTACAAAAGCTGCTTTTCTGTGTGCCTCTGAGAATATCATGTCTCATTTTAAATTTTATCATAATGACAACAATCATTATTATTTGTGTGCATATAGCTTGCCATGCGTGTCTGTGTTTTTGTAAGAGGTACTGCTGCCTTCCCAAGGGATATATTCATCATAACTATTATTGCATGCAAAGAAGCAGCCATACTTCCTTCTGAGTAATCCAGGCCTTATTTCTTATGCACATTCTGGAATTTTGTACTGTGCTCCTTCTAAGTGGGAATGGGAGTTGTTGCTAGAGAACAGGAGAATGTGGGTCCAGAGGAATGCTTTGTGTGAGTTCCACACCCTCCTTTCCATGTTTTGTGCCTCATTTTAGTTTTTCTGTGGTATGGGTTGCTCTTTGTTGGGGACCCCTCAGACCCACCTCTTCTGAACCCTTGGCCTCACTTTTCCAGCCCCTTGGCCCTGCCTCTGGTGACCTGTCTGCCATCCCACCACTCATTCTGACCAGCACATCTTCTTACATCACCTCTGAATGCTCCTGAACCAGCTCCTGCATTCATCACTATCATGAATGTGTAGGTGACCAGTGTCAGCAGCATCACAAATATCTTCTGCTTGTTGTGGGCTGGCATGCCTGAAGGCAGAAAAGAGAAACCCAAAGAGGAGATGGGGACTTTGATGCACCGATGACATTTTTATATGGCTATATTCAGCAGCTTGGTAGCTAAGTCATAAAAAGACCTGTGCTGGATCAGATCAAGGTTCCATCTAATCCAACTAGCTGCCCACAGGATCCCACAAGCCGGATATGAGTGCAACAGCACCCTCCTTCAGAAGGCTTGCGCAGGACCCTGCTCAGGAGTCTTTTGTGAGGAACTTCGTCTAGAGCCTTTTGGAAGTCCAACTACAGTGTTACCTCAGTCACGACCAAATTGGTTCATGAACAAAAATTTCAGAAAAAAATTGCCTCAGGTCACAAACTCCACATCGGGTGACGTCCACGATCGTGGCCATGTTCCCACACAAACATGATTGCAATCGTGCCCACCTTCCCTGCATGAGCGTGATCGCGCCCATTTTCCCCGCTCGCGGTCGCAGACAGGCCTGTGGTCACTTGCTGTGAAGTATTATTCAATAATAATATTGAATAATGGCTCCAAAGAAAGTGCAGGGCAAGCATGTCATACAAAGAACATGGAGAGCAGTGATAAAGGTGAGCAGAATGTGCAGAGCAAGAATAGTAAGAGAAGGTTTTGAAGAAAACAACCATTAAATTGAAGAAGGAAACTGTAGAAAAGCTTGAGTGTGGTATTCGTGTGAATGATCTCGCCTCTGAGTACAAGATGGCAAAGTCATTACTTTGTTGTTGTTACTTTGTTTCAAATTTTTGTGATTAAAACAATATTTACAGAATGGATTAACCTTATTTACATTGAAACTTATGGGCGAATTTGACTTGGTTCATGACCAATTCAAGTCATGACCAGAGTTGTGGAACAGATTAAATTCGTGAACCAAGGTACCTATGGAATTCACTCCCCAAAGAGGTCCGCCTGGCACCGTCGTTACTGGTTTTTCGGCGCCAGGTAAAGACCTTTTTATTTAAACATCATTTTAATCATTAAAACATATGATCTGGCCAGGGCAACTTCTTCTTCCTTCTCTTTCTCCTCCTATATTCTTTATTTACTTACTTTATACTGTTAATTTTAATTTTATATTATTGCATCTCAATGTATTTTTTGTATTTTTGTATTTATTGGTAATTTATTATGTTCTATTGTATTTCAATGTATCTCATTGTGTTGTAAGCCGCCCCGAGGCTTTGGCAAGGGGCGGCATAGAAATGTAATAATAATAATAATAATAATAATAATAATAATAATAATACCACCACTGTATATGATGTCTACAGAACCACCCAACTATGTGCCTACTGGCATTCTCAAAGAACTTTGACAGGTCCTTTGATACTCTTTAGATACTTTGATCCTACTAATTTTACCTTTAATAATAAAGTGAAAACAGATGAAAAGATTCAGCTTCTCCACAGTCTCCTGATCCTCCTTGAGTACTCCTTTAGTACCATTATCAGCCAATGGTACAATCGCCTCTCCAGATGCTTTCCTGCTTCCGACATATTTAAAGAATTCTGTATTGTTGGCCTTGGTGATATTAGCAATATGCTCTTCCAAATGCTTTTCTGCATCTCTAACATCTGCTTACTTCTTCCCTGTTCAAGCTCATGCTCCCTTTTATTTTCCTCATTTGGTAAGACTTCCATTTTCTGAAGGAAGCTTTTTCACCTCTGCTTGTTAACACTGCTATATTAACTATGCTGCGACCCCTTGGACTTCATATTACCTTTCCTATTGTGTGATATAATACTATCTGAGCTTTATTATTGTAGCTTTGAGTAATCTTCAAGCATTTTTGCAGTTTTGCAGAACAGCTGGGTCAGGAGGAGCCAGGAAGGCCATCAAGTCCAACCTCCTGTTAGTGGAGGACACCACCATCCTGATCAGGTAACTGTCCAATTGCTTCTTGAATGCATCTAGTGCGGAACAGCTCACAACCTCTCTTGGTCGCTGGTTCCACTGTCGTACTGCTCTCACAGTCAGGAAATTGCCCCTTCAGTCTAGCCTGCACCTGGTTTACTGAAGCTTAAATTCATTGTTCTGTGTCCTACAATCTGGAATGAATGGGAATAGCCTTCTTGTATGTGATAGCCTTTAAGATACTTGTAGAGTGCTGTCATGTCACCTTGTAGTTGCTTTTTCTCAGGGCTGAACAGGCTCAATTCTTTCAGCTTCTCATTATAAGACTTATTTTCCAGGCCCTGTATCATCGTTGTTGACCAGCTCTGAACCCTCAGCATCCTTTTTAAACCTGGGTGCCCAAAACTGAATGCTATAGTCCAGGTGAGGTCTGACTAATGCAGAGTAGAGAGGAATGAGTACTTCTCTATTTCTGGAAGTTGATATCTCTATTTATGCATTCCAAAATAGTGTTTGCCTTTTTTGTGGCTGCATCACACTGCTGGCTTATATTTAGTTTGCTGTGTACAACAACTTCAAGGTCATTTTTTCAGTGCTACTGAGCCAAATATTCCCCATCTTGTATTGATTTTTTGCCTAGATGGAGAACTTGGCATTTCTCCCTGTTGGATTTCATTCTGTTTTCATTTCTGTTTTCATTCTGTCTAGGTCTATCTGGATCTTCTTTTTGTCTTCTGGGGTGTTAGCTATTCCACCTAGTTTAATATCTCCTGCAAACTTAATTAGTTTTTCCTGGGGTTCCTTATCAAGATCTTGAAAAGTACTTGTCCCAGGATGAAGCCCTGTGGTACCCCACTAGTGACTTTTCTCCAGGTTGAGAAACTACCATTGATGGTCACTCTCTGTGAACCATTTTGAAGCCAGTTGTGGATTCATCAGCAGTGGTTCTGTCAACCCACATTCTGCTATTTTATTTATTAGGATGTCATCTGGGTCTTGAGTCCCCCTTTCAACCTTCTTCTTACCAGTTCCCTCATTTTGGAGAGGTTTCCTCATTTGAAGTGAAAAAGGACAGAATAAAACTATGTAGTGCTTTGCTTTTCCCTTGCTAAGGCCAAAGGATCCCCACCACCCCTACCCCACCACCTTTGCTTTGCCCTTTTTTGGTCTCAGCTTATAATCTATGTTTCAGATAATAATATGCAGAAATATATATACATATATAAATATATGAATAGCACTTACCTTCTCTTCACACAGTTGCTTAACTTGCTTGTGGACTGATGCTTCGTCACTGGGGTGCCTCGTGCTCGGAAAGCTAGCAAAAAGTTCACATGTAGTTTAACGCCAATCCTTTTATCATGCCAGAACATGTGGTGACCTCCTAAGCTTGTTTCGCGAAATGAAATGGATTGTGAAATAATTGTCTGCCTTTGCTGCCATTCTCTAAGATGGTGGGCAAACTGAAGTCGAGCTGAGTAGTAAAATGTGTTTTGCTCAATATGTCTTTGTAATCACTTCATTAGGATACTTCACTATGGAAAAGCCTAAATACTAATGCATGGAAATGGTTGCAAGCGAGAGCTCTTAGTGTGGTTTTTAATAGTCAGATCAAAGGCCTGGAAAAGTTACAAAAATAATGGTGAGCCACTCATCATCAGAGACTTGGAGGATTCTTTAAGAAGCCATTATCTAGCAATTGGGCAGTGCTTGGGAACATGGTCTACATTAACAAGGTAAGCAGTTTAAAGCAAATGGTGGCCAAGTGTCAGCTTTACAAATGGCAAAGCTCTTTCAGCTTTCTATTTTGAAGGTCACATCTACAGGCAGTGCCCCATGCCATAACCCCTATTATTTAAAAAAAAATACTGCAGGAAGTACACCATAGAGTGAGAGGAAGTGAAAGGGTAGAGAGGGAGGCCTGTAAAGCAGGCCTTCCTGCCATGCCCATCTGGAGAGGGAAATCCCTCTGGCATTTCCTTGCTGTAAAGAGGAGGTACCGCTGAGTTTGGACAGCAGGGAGTGGGCGGTGGGGGAGAGGGCGAGAGAAAGTCACAGTTTTTCCACTTTCATGGGTTCCTCCACTCCTAACCTCCACCAACTATTTGTGATCCAATGTCCATACACAGTCGAGTGAAAGACAATTTTCTGTTTTCTCAGGAATAGAACATGCTCATAACCCTGAGACGGCCTGTACCTGAAGGGCTGGTGAGTCTATGCCTGATTAAAGTTGAGGAAACATCAGAGGAAAAAGCACCTGGGCAGCAGATGCACAAAAGTCACCTGCTAACAGTCTATGCTGAGACTAACTGTATTTCTATTTAAATTATAATTATTTATGTACACCTATATGTTTATATCAGCATATGCATATTGTATACAAACATGTTTCCTCTTTTGCCAACCTTTTTGGTGATTCATAAGTGGCCACCGGGAAGATGATTGAGATGGTTTCCATTTAAAGTCATAGAGGCTCGCCATGTTTGCTGATTTATTTCATTTTTAATCTTAACTGTCATGGAACAAATCTTTCTGTGCTTGCCACATAAGAGAGATGTTCTACCTCTTCCTCCTCCACAATTTGCAAGATTAGGTTTTCATTTGTTTTTCTTAGTAAATCCCAGATTGCATGTATACTACTGTCTTCCAACACATTTATTTCAGCTTTTTAGAAAGATGTTGGAACTTACTAGGCCAAATGCAAATTTTGCTAAACTGGGAGCAGAGTGTCAGTGGTACAAATTCACACTTAAGAAAAGGAATAAAAGGTTGCAGTAGTGAGAAGAAATGGAGAAAAAAAATAAGGACAACACTCAGGAAACAGGACAGTGCAAGACTTTTTCCCAGATCAATCACCCCAAAATCAATTCCTATTTAACAAGGTACAACCTTTTGCACTAAAGCACAGAAAACAATAATAGATCCTAGACTGCAGTCTGATTTGCCACTCACTGTCAAGTGAACAGCAGTAGCATCAGTGTGCAAACTTCACCCCATCCTCGTCTGTTTGGATGCAGACAGATTTATAGATTTTCTGATGCCACAATAGCACAAAGCTGGGGCTGTTGTGGGCCAAAAGCCTTTTAAACCAAAGCCTCTGGTGACCATGCACCCTACTTTACCAAGGTTAGTCCTCTATCTGAAGGGATGCCCAGTCTAAATCTCATTCAAGTATAACAGGTAGAATCCAACATGAGTCCTGGACCAATTGAAATGGATCATTAAGTTTACTCTAAATATAATTGTGTCTGGGTCCAACCCAAACAGGACTGACTGGCAAGCCAAATCTAAGTAAGACTGTGGACAGAGACTGGACATGTTCAAAAGATCTTGTATCCTTCACCTGCCAATGGTGCATCAAAGAAGCTGAGCTTAAACCTCTGGATCCTATCTTATTGAGGAAGCTGTGCTTCAAGAATGCTGCAACTGTGTTCACTTGTATTTACTTGCCTGTGTGTTTACACAAAATTCAAACCTGGCTGTTTAATTCCATAAAAAAGAATTGTGGGTTGTGTCAGCCACACACCCTTACTGACTAGGTCATGAGTGGTTCACTGCCTTCTACAGATTATCTCTGAAATTGTTTGCATGATCACTTGTCCTGGATGAGAAAAGGCGAATCTTCTAATCTTGTGGACTGTCTTCATCTTGCCTCTGATTCACCCCTTGAATGTGCTAACAAATCAAAGAATCAAAAGCGATTAGGGAAAGCAATCACACACACACAGAGTATGTTAATAGGTCTGTAGTGGAAAGACCCACATTCCTACAAGAAGGCAGTTAATCTGTTTTAGGACTGATTTTCACATATGGGCTATTCTCTTGTTTACAACAGCTGGCCAAGGGGTGGGGATGGACCAACCATTCCTCTCAAGGATCCACTGTGACATTTTTCTATTGCTCTTTGGGAAAAAATCAGGGGTTTCTCAGCAAATTTGATGCTGTCATTACAGAGCCCCAGTTGCAGTGCCTGATGCCACCATCTGCCTGATTTTGTGGGATCAATTTCAATTGCTGCTTCCTGATGATGTGTGGACACGTTGCATGCCACAATATGACCAACCTCATGTCCTTTTGATCCTTGCCTCTCCTGGCTAATAAAAGCTGCCATGGGGGCAAAGACCCCCTTTTCAAGCAAGGTATTTGAGAAGGTGTTGGCAGAGCACCTTGGAGGATACTGCTTATTTAGATTATTTCCAGTTTTGGTTTCCACCTGATGCCTGCACCAAATCAGCCTTGGTCACCCTGAAGGATGCCCTTGATCCAGGGGACGACAGGGCGAATGCCATTCTGTTAGTTCTGCTCATTTTTTTTTTCTTGGCATTTGATACCATTGACCATGGTATTCTGCTGCACTGACTCTGAGGGCTGGATAGTGAGGCACTGCATAACAGTGGTTCTGATCTTACCTGTGGTGTCAGTTTCAGGCAGTAATGTTTCAGCCCCTTGCCTTTGAAAACAATTATCTGAGGATTGGATCCAAGTGCCATCAATATGCGATCTCTCTGTATCACGTGAGGCTGTGCAAGTCTTGGATTGATGCTTAGGCTCATTGATGGGTTAGATTAGGGTCAATAAACTGAATGTGAAACCTAACAAGGTGGAAGCCCTGTGCATGAGTAGTTCCCAAGTCCAGAAGATAAATTCACTGTCTGTTCTAGATGGCGCTTCCCTAGAAAATTAAGTCCGTAATCCAGTGTAGAGTCATCATTGTTGCTGGAAGCCTAGGTCACTGTGATGGCTTGAAGTGCATTTAACAGCTTCAGCTGGTTCATCAACTCCAGCCTTTCCGGGGCAGGGCTAGTGGTACTGGTGCTAGTACCCTCAGGACTGGATTGCTGCAGTGCTGTTTAGGTGGAGCTGCTCTAAGTTAGGCTGCTTTCAGATAGACATTTTTGCTTGATTGTGCTGTTTCTACAAATGCAGAGTTTGGGCAATCATATCCCAGCTTAATACGCCAAGGTAGGAACAAGACTTTTGCCCATGCCTGTAGTCCCTCTGGCCTCCCCAAGAAATCTCTTAATTAACCAAAGCCTCCCATTTAATCCAAATAGGGAACCTATGGCTAACAGCTTCAGATAATGTTAGGGTATTTGTGATAAACACCTATATTTTAAGGCTGCTGAATACATGATTGCCCCAAACACTATAGGCAATCTGGTAATTTGACACCATGCTGAGAAGAGTCTTATCTCTTTCATTCCTGCCAAAAAACCCCCCTCAAGCTCTTTCTTTTTAGAAGAGGCTAATTGGTTTAAGCCAGTCTAACCTTTTGAGATGCAAGTTTAGTCATTAGGAAGGCAAGTCCAAAAGCTAAGCAATTTTCTGGTTTCTGGCTAGGTCACTGACATCCAAAATAGAGATTACCACATGACTGCATAAAACAAAAACCATTCTCCGGTAAGGGGCCAACTTTTGCCGAACTCAGATTCCCCATACAGGTAAAAGCTTGATCGTTGCTGGAGAGCCTTCCCTATACCGTCTAACTGGGGGTCAAGACACTTTCTCTTAGAATAGGCCATCCTCTCTGCAATGAACCTGGAATATAATCTGGAACCCATTTGGCATTTACACATAACTAGACAAATGGAAAATTCTCTCTAAACTTTTCCCTATGATAAGGAATATTCCCCCCCCCCAAAAAAAGCATACCAAACCAAACCATTCTTTCATAGGATTTAACCAGGTGTCTGGGCTTGGGTAGGAAAATTCAAACCATCTTTTAATTTTTTTCCTAGGTATGGGAGGTGTCCAGAAACTGGACAGTTGAGGTTACAACAGGAGGTTCATTCTGACTGGTGGCACCTTATCAGAAATTATTTGCTTGAAAAACTAATGTAAAAAAAAGGTCCACCCAATAGGGAAAGTCGTTCCCTCCTCCCAAGTCCATAATAATGTTAAACAAGCATCAAAAAGTGGTTTAATATCTGGTGTGTTTCCAGGCTTGTTCAAAGGTGCAGTGTGTGTGTGTGTGTGGGGGGGGGGAGCTCACTGATATCTCAGTTTCTTAAACTGAAATATGATTATCTGAAGAAAGTCATAGAATTGCAAATGGACATAGTGTGAACATTTATACACCTAAACATATGCTTGTTATTAAGGTCCCACTATTTCTCTACTTTATGTGTGCTGATGACCCTCAATTTATATTGAATGAGATAAAGTGTGATTGTGTCATGTTTGAAGAAAACTCCCTAGTTCTTAATCAGCAAAGTTTTTGCTTAATTTCTGTGTACCTCTTGTCTCTTCACTTCTTTTAACTGTGGTACAGACTCGAGTTATTTTTGACTGGTCCATAGCTTCCAGTATCTTTTATCTGGAAATAATTTGTGAAACTCTTTTCCCATCCACATCCTTTGTATGTGGAAAGGCAACTATAAGGACTTTTGTTTCAACAGCAACAGCACCTTAACTTTTGAAAAACTGACCTGCTGTTTAGTTTTAACAAAGGTATTTACTGAGATGTTCTTAAATTGTCTACAACTGAACTTAATCTAATTGCTTGCAATCTTTTAAAATTTTAAAGTTATTTTAAAACTGCATTGTTTGCATCTAAAAAAATTTAAATTGTGGCTTGATAGGCATACACACAAAGAACGTGCTGTGAGAAGGTGAGATATTTTAAATAAATACTTTAAATAAAAAAATAAATTGACTTACTAATTATTTTAAGGAATTCCTATCAGATGATATGTAATTATCTGCATCAAACCGATAATACTAGTGAATTTGCCCAGTGAACTGATTTGGCCTGATGGCATGAATGCCTCTTGTTCACACATCAATGAATGGCCATTCTATGCTTTGTTCCAGGGTTTAACAATAGACAAACACAACAAGGGGAAGTGGAGAGGAGGAACTTGTTTTCCGCCCCCAGTGCAACCATAGTGGGATTTTGAATATGAAAAGGCTTTTCATACTCAGTCTGCTTTAGTCCAATCCAAAATCCAAGATCGACATTACAGAAATCACTGCAATAAATAGGATGATAACGATCAGTTAGATTGTTCTTAGCCAAGCCTCCATGTTACTCCAGCAAAGTTACTCTATAACTTAGTCCAGCAACAAACCAGGAATGGCAATCTGCTCTGCACAAGCTTTTGTAGCATATTGCGAAGTGGTTCATGACAAACCTTACCCCACCCCACTGAGGAACTCAGTAAACACATATGGAGGAAATCTGGAAAGTGATTGTGATTTTCAGCCGTAAGGGGAACTACAACACACAGTCTTTCCCCTTTCCCTTTTAATTCATTCTTGGCAAGAAACTTATTTTCCAGCAATTATTGAAGTTCATATTTCAATGTATCACATTTAAAAGAGGTTCTAAAGTACTACTCACGCTGTTTCTTTAATACCAATGTCTTTCGCAAATATCTCTCCACCTTCACTGACTTGCTTTCCAGACTCACTTCGCCTTTTGGCTCTAGGAACATGCCGCTGGGAATTACATTTTGAACAATGTAAACAGCATTGGAAAAAAAAAAAAACAGACAGGATTTATTCCTTAGGCGATGATCTGTTGTCAAAGACGCTCATTTAGCACATTGTATTTATTGGAACCTCTGATTGGCTGAAGCCTCTGAAAACCAAGAGCTTATGTAACAGAAATGTTGTTGCTTGACTCATTACCAAACATCCTGTTGCACAGTATGAGAGAGCCCACATTATATAATCTTCCTCTCTCATTTATCTTGGGCAATTGGTGTTAATTGCCATTCCTGCAACCTCTATGGCTACCTGACTTCCATAGGAAAAGGTGCAAAAGGCAACCCTTAAATATTACCTAGGTCTGCCTCACTTTCTGTGTACTACCAAAACATAATTTTAAAATATATTTGACATCCCAGTGGGCTACTACATTTCTGTTGCTATACAAATTTTGGAAGGGACACTGTGTTCTTGCTGGAGATGTGTTTTGCCAGAACCCATTCCTGTTTTGCTTCTGAATGCAGCTGTTATAGGTTACTAGCACACGCATTAAAAAGCACAGCAGCTCAGTGTTTTAAATAGCTTTCCTACTATTATTTTGCAGTATAGAACTACTCAATCATGGAAGCAAAATGCTTGTCTTAAACCCTGCATTCTTCCATGCACTGAGCCTATCAGTGACTTGAATTATCCAACATGCTTAAACTGCTAATTTTAAATCCAAGGTACAAAGATGGGACTTTGTGTGGACTCTAGAGTGGCCATGTGTCATTCTTTACAAAGAACAGTCCTCTGTTTGGATGCATCCTCTATTTTGAGCTATGGGTCTATTCTAGCCTGTGAGGCAGGCCAGCCCAGCCTATGCAGCTTCCTGAGTTTCCTCCAGGGGCACAGCTGAGGGTCCAAATGCCACCCCTAGAGGAATGCTCTCAAAGTGCATCCCACCCCCTGCTGCTCTGTCCTATCTGAAACAGAAGAGAGCAGCAGGGATGAGGGGCCTGGGACTTGTCCACATGGGGAAGAGCGGGTGACTCAGGCTCAGGCCACCCTCCAGCAGTGGCAGGGTACCATGGGCGTGACTCACCTATGCTGTGGAGAGCAGCCTCTCCTTCCTGCACAAGTGAGCCTGAAATCAGAGAAAGCAGCGAGGATGCAGGATGGCCTGGATCTGAGATGGGGTTCTTTGGGCCTTCCTGGGAGGAGGTGCAGCTCCGTGTCTCCTTCCAGCATGAAGACAAGGGAAGAAGGGCTTGATGTCCGGAGGGGGTGTTGGGAAAATTTGGGTAAATCCTGTCTGAAAAGCATTAGTCCTGTGTGCCTTTGCATTGTGAGATCAAATCCTGCCTTCCTTCTCAAAACCAAGCTGTCACTGTTTAAAATGGCATTCCCCCACTCCTTTCTTTCACCTTTAGCTGTAGGCTACAGTAGGCCATTTTAGCCCAAATATACATTATAAATAGTCATTGTTGGAATTCAGTTAACAATAATCTTTGAATAGGCCAGAGGGCTTCATGTGCCCTGATCATGCAGAATGTTTAGATGCATTCTGTCATCAATTGCCCTGTACCTGTGTACCTATAAATGCCCTGTAATGGTATTGAAGCTTTGCAGCGAGTTCATCTCTGCTAGCCTGGTAATGCATTATCGTGAGTCAACCGCGGGGACTTGGGATAGACAATAAAGACACGGAGGTTCATAATGATTGATCTTTCCTACGACCCCGAGTTTTATTTCCTCTTCTCAAATTGAGTTTCCGGGATTCTGACAGGGGCCACATCTCCTGCCATGAGTTTGGGGTGGGGCTCTGCCCCTGATGTCCCATGGGGGGCCTGACAGGGACAATCTTCTTGTTTTGAAGAGCTTTCTGTTCCAAATCTAGTTTAAAGAGAAAGGACCATAAAAAGAAAAAGCAGGCTGGGATACTGAAGTTGCCCATCCACGGTGAGCACATGGACAACTGACTCAGGGAGAAGGCTGGCCACCTGGTTATAGTTGTGCCCATTTGTGAAGCTTACTGTAACTTCTGTTTAAAATTATAATAAATATATTAATTCTTAGTGATGTGTTCAAGTCATTTACTCCAAGTCTCAAGTCAAGTCTCAAGTATTTACTTTCAAGTCCAAGTTGAGTCTTAAGTGCAAGAAATTTTCAAGTCAGGTCTCAAGTCTCAAGAGCCAACTTGGGATGTGTGTGTGGGTGTGTGAGAAAACTGTAACCCACCCCATGTTCTGCACTTCTCTCACTGAATGCATTGAAGTCCTTTACAGTCAAGCACAATTTTATTTAAACAGAGAAGTGCTGTTATTTGAATTTATCAAGATTCGAATTTAGAAAAACAATTGTCTTGACACACTTGTCTTTGTCCCCCAGCCTGGAAATGTGCAGGAACAGAGCAGGAGCAGCAGGCAGGAGAAGAGCTGTTGGACTTCCTGCCAAGGGGAGCAAAGTGCAGCAAAAAGAGCTGAAGCCTTCCCCCTGTACAGGTAGTTGTTGGGTTATAGACGGGTTCCATTCCTGAGAATGTCCTTAAGGTGAGTTTGTATGTGAGTTGGATCACATGAGTCAGCCAAATGTTTGACTTAATATGTATATACATTTTACCTTTCTGTACTTATAAAACACTTAAGAAACACTTCCATATTCACTAAAACATCTTAAACAATACAGTATTGTAATAATGATAATAATACAGTAATAATAAAGTGGCTACAGGTACTGGAGAGAGAGAGAGAGAATCTGTATGTGTGTAGGTATACAGTATTGTAAAAACAAACAAAAAACCTTAAACAGTTCAGAACATTCTTGCAAATTAGTGCCTTACAGAGCTAAAAGAGCTCACTATCATTCTTGCATAGATTATAACAAGATCATGAATAAGAAGCATTTTGAGTTCTTTAAAGTACTTTATGTGGTTTGTTCTTTTTATTTGTTCATTTTCTGAATATATTTCTGAGTTGCTCTACTAATTTACAATAAACCGTAAGAATAATAAAATGCCAGTGTTCCAAACAAAACCAAACCTAAAACAAAACGGAAAATGATCAGAACTTCCCTACTATCTTTTTATACAATTGGGTAATATTTGCAGGCCTGTTGGCCACTTTGGAGAGGATGAAGCCTGCCAAATTCTACCCAGACAAGTTCTGCTCTCTCTTTTTCCTCTCTCTCTCTCTCTCTCTGCTGTTAATTCAGCATCATTTTCCCATCTGGAGTAAAGGTAAAGATAAAGGTTCCCATGCATTTACATGCTAGTCCAAGGCCCGTGCTCTTGTAAACTGAAGAGCCAGTGTCTTATCTGAAGACACTGGTCATGTGGCCAGCATGACTAAATGCCAAGGCTCATGGAATGCTGTCACCTTTCCCACCAAAGTGGTACCTGTTTATCTACTTGCATTTGCATGCTTTCCAATTGCTAGGTAGGCGAAAGCTGGGACAAAGCAACAGGTGCTCACCCTGTCGCACAGATTTGAACTGCTGACCTTCCAATCATAGCCCAGCAGCTCAACGGTTTAGTATGGGCATGACAATACCGAGCTAGTTCCCCTTTAGCATTTGCTCATTGTAGCCAGGCCCTCAGCTGCTACAAGCCCATTTAGGGTGAGAAAAGACACCGGCTCTACAAACACCTTTCAGGCCTATTTCAAAGAAGTGACTCTAGTGGTAACCACCCATCCTGCAACACAAAGGGCTCCCTAGGTGGGGTGGCCACCCTACTACACACTTGCTGGTTTTTAAGAGGGCACCATGCTGCTCCTTGCTCACATAGACTAGACCCCCATTAAGGCCTTTTCTTACCCACCAGGTTTGGTTGACTTACGCAAACTAAAAAAGCGAGTCAATTTCACCCATCTTTCCTCCTTTTTCATCAAATGCTTGAGAATTGACAGTAATATTATCCTACTTTAATAGTATAAGATCTCTTACTTTAAGATAGTATTAGTCAGGGCTTTTTTTGTCATAGAACGCACCAGAACGGCGTTCCGGCACCTTTTTTTCAATGGATTTTACCAAGTGATTTTGAACTGCATAGCAGATCCGCAGCAAACATCATTAACATAGTGCCTGCAGGCTGCTATTGTGTCTGTTATCTGATTGTGAGAGATAGCTGCCTGCTCAGCTTGGGATTGGTGTGTGTGCTTACTGCCCGTGGAGATGTGAGTTCCGCACCTTTTTTTTTTAACAAAAAAAGCACTGGTATTAATAAATAGTAAATTTGATAATAATACTAGAATGGTACTAATAAAATACATTTATTAGCAATTAATAAATTTCAGTGATTTGTGGTGTAATCCTATGCATATTTAGATAGAATAAAGCCCCACAATTCCCAGCATGCCCCAGCCAGGCATACATCAAGAAAAAAAATGCTGCCTTTGAAAACCACAAGGAGCCCAAACCTGGTACATTTTTCTGCACAAAGAGTTCCCATGCGATTGTCAAGGGCAATTAATCTACAGCACAGCATGCATGTTTACTCCAGTAGAAATATTCCTTTGTTTCATGCAGCTTCACCTCTCAAGGAAGTATACAAAGGGATTCTGCCTTCATTTTCACTCTTGGTTGCAGAGTCATATAGTGAAACACATAACATTTAGTTAAATTAGGAGAATTCTGTTAAATGTGTTGTGAGAACTTTGTTAATCTTGCAAAGTTGTTATGCTAACATCACTAGTGGTAGATGCCTTTTTCACAACTGAAAAGTCAATGACCTGGACTCCTAATGTTTCGCACAAGTTCTAAACTACATGGACTAATCCTCTAAAACAGCTCAGCATCTTAAATCCTGCACCAAGTTAATCTGGATGCTTTTAGCGACACAGATTAATATCTTCGTTGGCTGCATGGGGTGGGATTTGAGTTGTCTTGGAGGCAGGGACAACATGCAGAGTCTAGTGTATCTAGGTTACCTAGATCCAGCTGGAATTAGTTTGGGTAGCAAAAACTGCAGTTTCTTTTTTTATTTGTCATGGCAAAGATATGACAATATTCCATCTT